CTTCCAAGGATTGAGGAAGGCCCCTCAGATAGCCCTTACGGTCTCTTTTCACTCTCATCCCCTCTCCTGGGTCTTTTTCCTCATCTATCACACTCCTCCTCCCAGAAACATCCACACCCCCACCTTTGCCCCTGTCCGCAGCTCCCCCTACCTTTCCTGGCCCTTGGTTTCTCATCCACGTTCCAGAAAGTTGCAGAAAGTATCCCTGCAGGTCTCAGGCACGAGGCTGAGGGCGCCCAGCATCATCTCACTTAGCCCCATAGCAAGCCATATGCAGTAGGGGCTACTAGTATCCCCACTACACAGAGGGCGAAACAGGCTCGCACAGGTTGGGTCTGCGGCTCCAGTAAGGCAGTGGCAGATACTGTCCTCGGACCCTGTGGTGTGGCCCTGGCCAATATAATATCACCAATGACTTATCCACCAATTCTAATGGCCCTTTCCCGGCCTCATCCCCTCTGTCTCTTGGCAGCAACTAACACCGTTTACCTCTCTTCTGTCTCCTTTGGCTCTTGGGAAGCCCTTTATCTATCTCATGGTCCTCCACCCCTCCTCACCCTGAGTTCCCCTCCTCCCTCCTCACCTGGGCTCCCCTGCCCAACCTGGGCTCCTAGGACTTCATTCCTGGCACTTTGTTTTTCTCACCCTAGACGGACTCCCAAGAGAAACTCCAAAGCGACTTGATTCCAGGTCCACTGGGGACCGTCTTGTCCACCCCCTCATCGTCCCAGGTCACTGAGTGGTTAGCAGAGCTGGGACTGGAGCCAGGTGCCCTGACCTACAGGCCTATCCACCCTCCCATGACTCCACGCTGCCTGCCGCTACACCTCCAAGTGTTCCCAGCACTGCAAGATGCCTCCCACCCCAAGGAGGAGAAGGTGTGAGGCCCTGATAAGTTGGGGCGGAGGCTATTTTTAGAAGACACTAACTAGCTTTCCACTCAGGCTGGGAGGATCTCAAGGGCTGTCTAAAACTTGCATCTGTGACTCGCTCATTAAAGAGCATTATACACCAAAATGAGTGTCCCTTGTTTTCACTCTCCACCTGTTTATGATGTGGCTTGAATTAATGTGAATCTTAGTACTTGACTGGTTCCCAGCACAAATGGTCGACTACCAACTGGAAGGTTTGTGGTTTGAACCCATTCAGCGGCCCTGCACAAGAAAGGGCTGATGATCTGCTTCCTTAAAGATGATTTTAAAATAAATAAATAAATAAAAAACACCCAGGGCCATTCCGACTCACAGCGACCCCCATGGGTTTCCAAGGCGGTATAGCCAAGAAAATCCTAGGGTTCTACTCTCTAACACATGGGGTGGTTGGGAGTGGGAATCAATTCAGTGCCAATGGATTTGGGCTTGGTTTCCCCTTCATTCTTTGATCTGTGCGGTTTTGAGATGACTTTCAAGAAAATTGGAGAAAGTAAAGAAGAAACGATCAGGAAACGTCAGGACGAGGGCACTAGGGTCTGAGAGAGGGAAAAAGCAATGACTAGGAGCGGACGGAAGAAGCCGGGCCTCGGTGGAGGTGTCCACAGGTCCTGAAGCGCGGCCCGGTGCGGCGGGAAGGGTCGGGAACAGAGACGGGAAAGGCTGTTGGAGACCGAAGATCTCCCGGCGCGGCCCTCAGACTGTGACCTTGAGCCCAGGGGTCGGCGACCCCTCACGGCAAACAAAATGGCCGTCACCTTGAGCGGGCGGTGCGGGTCCTTGGGGCGCAGCGCCCGTGTTTAGGACCTGGGGTTCCTACACCGGAGCCGGGTCATCTTCGAGACTCCGAGGGAGGCGGAGGACGAGGCCAGGCCGCCGCCGCCAAGCTCTGTGATGGCCCGGAGGGCGCGGAGGGCGGCGCGGCACGGCCCCCTGGCGGGAGAGCGCGGGCGTTCCTCTCGGCACAGACGGGGAAACTGAGGCCAGGGAGAGGCGGGATTGGAACCGCTGGCGCTGCCCAGTGCATTGGGTCTTAAGCCGTTGGGGTTACGACCTCCTTTGAGAAGGTGATGCAGGGTCCCCCGCGGAGAGAGTCCCTGAAGCACCAGGCACGCACTTGCTGGGCCGTTCCCAGGGGGCGGTGGGTCCCCCGGATACGACGCGGGTCTAGGGGGACGCTCAGGTGTCTGGTTCCCCAAACTCCCGGCGGATGTGTGTCCCCTTGGCGCCCGGCCCGGGCCAGCGAACAGGTGGAGGCAGCGCAGGCGGCCAGGAGCGCGCCCTCTCTCCGCGCCCTCACCGCGGCTCCTCGCTCCGCGGCGGGAACCAAACCCGCCCCACAGACGGGGAAACTGAGGCCGGAAAGGGGGGCTTGCCAGAGTCCCCTCGCGAGTCGGCGACAGCGAGGGGCTTCCCGCCTCCGGGCGCCTTCCTGTCCACCGCGCCGTGTGACGCGCGAACCGTGCAGGGGCCTCGGCGGCTCCCCATTTTGGAAAGTTTTCCGGCCACAGACCCGCGCTGCCGAGCCCGGCCCTGGGCCGCAGGAGCACTTACGCCCCTACTGCCGCCCCGACTGCGGGCC